GGCCAGCCGCAGCCTAAGATGGGTTTTGAGGAACCTCGAAGTGTGTCTGGGGGCCGGAATTCTGGCCCTGACATCTGCCTTCAGAGCCCTGCCTGTGGGCTGGAACTCCGGGGAGTAACTGAGCAGTAACCCCAGGTGCCCAGGGACCCGGGCTGCCCGACCCCTCACCTTGCAGGCAGCGCACGTGCTGGTCACAGTTGTCCCGGTCATCACAGCTCTGATCGTCACGGTCACAGTTCACCAGCAGGACAGCTCCATACCCACCAGGGCCCCAGACCCACTGCCGCTGCCAATAGCAAAACAGCTCGGCGTGGGGCTCAGTCACACCTGTGCTCCCTCCCCAGCAACCTCCTGGCCAACCTCCTAACCTTTGCCTATGCTGTGAGGGCGGGGCCACTTTCACTGAGCAGCCCCTGCTCCAGAAGTGACAATGGCTCCCTCTTGCCCAGCCCATCAAGGCCAAACCACAGAGCTGTCTCCCATGGCTGGCTGTGATGGGCCAATATCCTCTATCTCAGCAGGTAGCTTCCCGATCATAAGACCACACGCCTCACACCACGCTTATTCCTCTCTTCCCCTCTCGGCCTGTGCTGCTGTTGCTCCCTCCGCCTGGAGTGTCCTCCCTCCTGCATCCCCTCAGAACCCCACTCAAGCGCACTCCTCCCAGGGAACTGGCCTGGCTCACCCAGGTGAAAAATGTAGATCAGGGGAGCAGCACATTATGGCCTAAGGGCCAAATTCGGCCCACTGCCTAACTTTATAAATAAAGTTTTATTGGAACACAGCCACAGCCATTAGTTTGTGTGTTGACTGTGGCTGTTTTCACACTGCAGTGGCAGAATGAGACAGCAGGGCCCACAAACGTTTTCTATAAAAGCCTAAAACATTGACCATCTGGCTTTTATAGAGAACGTTTGCTAACTTCTGACCCAGATCTTAAGTCCAGAAAGAACTTTCCCTCACAAACTGAGGCCTAGCCTGGCAACAGGTCCCCTCGCCCGGTTCTCATTTGGCTCCCTGACCTCCACATCAGCTGGGAGTCCGGGGGCATTTGTAATGCCCTTGGCCTCTCGTCCTGGTCTAGAGCATCTCCAAGCTTCACTCCCCGATCCCGGACCCAGGCGAGATGCCTACCTTGTCCACGAAGCACCTGTCCTCCCTGCCCTCATAGTTCAGGTCACACTCCAGAGCCATGTCTGCAAGGGGAGGCAGAGGGAAAGTCACTGCAAGGTCCCCAGGAACCCATGGCTCTACCGTCTTAACTGTGACCTCAGGGCCTGTCTGAGGCTGTAAGTCACTTCCAAGAAGACACAGTTAAAGAATGAGCCACAGGTACGGCAAGAAAGGGCGGGTGGGCAGCTTTGGGCACTGACCGCGTTCTACTTCTTGACCTGGGAGGTGGATGCTCCACTGTTTGCTCTGTAACCGTGTGTGTGTGTGTGTGTGTGTGTGTACGTGTGTGTCTGCATGTGTTCAAGTTTGGGATGAAGAGAAATCCCAATCTCACTCCTAATTAAAGAATGGCAAATCAAACCTAGCCACAATGGTGCAAGTGATGGCTAACACTACACCAGCCTGAAGATATTTGGGAGGCCCAGGTTCGGATCCTGGATCACCCTGGGCAGACTGGGCAGCCTAGATAAATGGGAAGCTGGGACAGAGGACTGCAATGGCAAGGACCCCCCCTCTCTCCCTCCTCCTCACTCTGTCTCATAAACAAACAAACAAAGCAACAGTGAGATGCTGATCTATCGAATTGGGGAAAGTGGAAAAAAATCAACAGTATAGCATTGGCAAGGCACTCGCGTATGTTCACAGGCATATAAAGCGGTACGGTCTTTCTGAAGAGCAATTTGGCAATAGTTATGAAATTTTAAAATATAGACTCCCTATAACACCGAACGTCTGTTTCTAAAAATGCTTTCTCCAGATTGAGTATTTTTAACTTTCTTGCTAATTGCTTTCCAAGTGCTTGGCTCACTGCAAACTCCCATGCATGGCCGTGTGAGGAGCTCCCCAGCTCCACAGACTCGCAGCACTCAGTTAAGCATCTTTACACCTGGGTTTCGACCACTGTGGCTTTCTTTTCTGTGAATTGTATATTCGCATTTCTCCCGTTTCTATGTTCTTTTTTTCTTATTAGTTGGCATTCTCCATATCCTAGCACCATGTTGGCCACAGCATTGCAAATTTCTTTTCCCAGTCTACAGTTTGAATTTTTACTTGCAGCAGTTGGCATAATGGCTATGTCGCTGGACTCCCATATAGTCGATAATGGTTCGAGTCCCAGACCCGGTGGCTTAAACTCACACCAGGTGCGTGTGTGTGCGTGCCCAAGATCCCAAGAGGAGAATGTAGAAGGGATTGTGGCATGGCCATCCTCCCAGGGGGTGATTTCTCACTTTCTGTCTCTGTCTCTCTCTGTCTTTCTGGCGAGCGCACGCACCCTATAGCAAAAACCTCTCAAAAAAATTTTAATACAGTCTAATGTATCGATATCCCCTATTATCATTTTATCATCTGTGCACTTGTTTTCCCTTGTTAAAGAAAACATTCACTGCCTTGCAATTACAAAGATATTCCTTTTTTAAAACTTTAATATTTCAATATTTACCCCCAAAATTTTAACTCACCTGAAAATTTATTTTTTAGTACAGTATGAGGTAGGGCTCCAAGTTCATTCATTCCCACATGACAACCACATAGGCGTGGCTCTACCTCTAGGTTCTCACTTTGTTCTTTGGGTCTGTACTTTTTAACCTGCACCAGTTTCACAATGCTTCGAGCACTATACACTAAAAAAGAACCTTGAGATCTGGGACTGTGTGTTTCTCCATCTTGTTCTCCCTCAAAATTATCTTGGACGTTCTTGTCCTTTGCTGAATATGAGTTATAGCATCAGCTTCATCAAGTTCGATTAAGAAAGCCATTTCGGGTTTTTGTTGGGAATTTCAATTGAAATTATACCTTTGGGTATCATCTCAGAGCTCTTAGATCTCTGCTCTTTTTTGTTTTGTTTTGTTTCACTCTTTCTTCTCTTTGCATTTCAGTTTGAACTTCTATTAAGCTCTTTTCAAGTGTGTTGGTTCTTTCCGTAACTGTATCAACTCTACCAACGAACCCATCCAAAGCATCTTTCATCTCTGTTACTATGGTTTTTCTCTCTAGCATTTTCATTTGATTCTTACAGTTCTCATCTCACTGTTGAAATTCTCCATCTGTTCTTGCATGGTGTCTACCTTTTCTGCTAGGTTTTAAACACAGGAATCCTGGTTACTTTACATTCCCTGTCTGATAGTTCCAACATCTGAGTCATCTTGCATGGTGTTTAATATATCAATCTGTGGAGAATTAGCAGAAAAACCTTTTATTGTAAAAAAGCAAGGGCCAGTTCCATGTCTATAGCATGCTTCCATTTAGCGGACATCCAACGTGCATGTGTCTGCTTGTGTAAACACAGCATACCTCCAGACAGGGGCTGGGGCTGGGGACCTGGAAGCCTTAGGTTGGAAGGAGGGAGGTTTACTTTTCAATGTATATGCTTTCATACTGCTTGTATTTTTTAAATGTGCACTTCTTTACTTTTGCAAATAAAGTGATTTTTTTTTTTTCAAAAAGACCCTTGTTCACTGTCATTGCCACCACCACTCCTCGGCCCTTGCCTGAGGCCCCTTAGCCATACCCTCAGTGTGGTCCCCGACTCACCAATGCAGGTGAGGTAGAGCACCGCGTAGGCCAGGGGCAAAGGCTCATGACTAGAGTGATAAGAAATCTGAACCTGCAGAGAGATGGGCCCAGGATCTTGTTAGTGGAAGCTAACAGCCTTCAGCCTGAAAGATAGACCTCTATGATGTAGCAAGGCGAGGGGGTGGGGGGCTCTCAGGAACCACTGTGCACCAACCCGGCTCTTCCTTTAGTCTTTTCTGTACCACGTGTTTTCCATGCCTCAGCTGGCCCATCTGTAAAATGGTAACCCTTTGTGAGGGATTCTATGGAGACCTGAGTTCCAACCCTGCCAGCAACCAGTAGTGTGATTTTGGCAAGCCCCTGCACCCCTCTCTATTGTAGTTTCGCCATCGTAAATGAAGAGTTTGGATGGGCGGGGGCGGGGGACACTCACCAAGCCAACATTCTCATCTGTGGGACTCAGGGCTTGACTGAAACCAGGCCCCTCTGGGCTCTATGACCTTGACCAAGGCCCTTCATTCACCTCTGGGCTACCCCATCTACAAAGTGGGGGCCATAGAGGTCGCTCCTTCAGAGTAGTGCAGGTTAGAAACAATACATGTAGGGACCAGCAGATCTTGTAATGGCTGTCGCTGGACTTCCATGTGGTTTACTGTGGTTCAAGTCCCAGACCTGGTGGCTTAAACTCATGCTGGGCACGTGTGCGTACGTGCCCAAGATCCCGAGAGGAGAACGGAAAAGATTGCAGCGTGGCCATCCCCCCTGGGGGGCGATTTCTCACTTTCTGTCTCTCTGTCTCTCTCTGTCTTTCTAGCGAGTGCACGTGCCCTATGGTAGAAACCTCTCCAAAAAAAAAAAAAAAAGATATGTAAAAGACATGTAAAAATGCATGTGAGAGGCGGAGCCTATAGGAAGTGCCCAAGAAATAGCAGCTACTGTTACTAGCAGGTGGGCAACCTCCTGGGAGGCCCAGGGGCAGCGTCCTGGCGTCAGATGGCCTGGACGCACGTTCTGGCCCCCCCTCTGGGATAGGCTGGGTCCTAGCTCCCTTCACTGTAAGTGGGGACCATAGCAGTCCCTACCCCCAGCATTGGCTCAGTTAAGAGGACCGAAAGCACGCGGTAGCACGTCCAGTCTGCCAGTCTGGAGGAAGGCCTGCAGCAGCTCCCAATGGCCATTACAGGGAGGGAACTTCCTTGACCCCAGCAACCATTGGGGCCAAGGAATGCAAGGTGGGGAGACACCCACACAGCCCCTGGTTTGGCAAGGACCCAGGAGAAGCCCTCACTAGCTGGTCCCTCTGCACTGCCCCAGGAGAATGCACTGTCCTGACTCACCAAGTCTGCTAGGTCATGTGACTTCAGGTAAGCCACGCCTTTTCTGGTCTCAGTTTCCTTGTCTATAAAATGGGTTCATTAACTTATTTCTTTTTAAAAAAAGAATTATTTTATTTAACTTCATTTATTTATTTATTTGTTTATTTTAATTTGACCAGCGAGGGACAGAAGAAGAGAGAGGTTGAGAGGGAAAGTGAGAAAGCAAGCCGCCAGGTCCGGGACTCAGCCACGTGGAGTCCAGCGCCCTTAACCACCTCACTACCTGCTGGCCACCTGGGTTCATTAACTTCTGTCCCATACACCTCCCAGAGCATGTGGAGAGGGTCAGTTCAGATGCATGAATGGGAACAGAAGTGGGGGTGATGGAGACCTGCCCCCCACGTGTCACGCAGCTCTGCCTTGAAGTTTAGCTCTCCTGCACCGTGGCTGTGTTCAGGAGGGTGACTGATCCTTGTTGCCCTGCATGGGAAAGAGGGGCCCACCCTGCCTCTCAGGGCTGCGGGTGGGTGAGATGAGGCCACGCTGCCCAGTGCCCCCTCGAGGGCTGTTTCTAAAGCAGGGCTGCTGCGGGGGGTGGGAGCCCACCACTGCCGCACACTAAGCCTGTCCCTGCCTCTTAGAGGGCACTACCTGTGTGAGGCTCAAAGGCCTCTGCTTCCCCCGGGTCTTACATGTTCCCTGCTCTGCCAGTGGGGTCAGGAAGCAAGGAGTTCAGGGGGAATGGGGCACCTGGGGGGATGTTACCAGGGCAGGGGTCTCCCAGGCCTCAGAGTCCCTCCCCGGCCCTCGCTTTCTCTCCTAGTTCCGAGGGGCAGATGACCCACCAACCCTCAGCCCGTAGGTGGGGACACAGCAGAGTGGGGACAACTCCTCCCCTCGGGGGTCTTGGGGAGCCGAGAGAGAAGACATTCGCTCATGCTCCACAGGTGGACAGAAGCCCAAGAAGTGCTAGGACTTCCCGAGGACACACAGTCCGAGATTGTAAACTGCAGGGCTGGGACTTGAGCCCCCGCAGCCAGCTCTGCCTGGCCGTGCTCCCCTGTACCCTGGGCAGGACGTTGGACCCTCCTGGAAATAAACAGCCAGCCCCCACCCCGCCTGCCCCGGACCGGGGGGGCCAGCTCACATGACTGTCGTCCAGGTGGTTGCTGGGGGAGTTCATGACCACGATGATCTCCTGCCCCGCATCGAAGTGCCAGCGCCTGGTGTCTGCACGCTCCCGGCGTCTCTCCACGCTGGGAGAGACGTAGATGTCCACACCAGGGGTCCCGTAGACCTCGAACATCTCCGTGCCCTCGGGAACCGACCTGAAGAGGACAGGGAGCCATGCAAGTGCTGGAGGACCAGCCCGTGCTTAGATGTTTGAGCCTTAGTGCAAGCCCTGCTTCCTCCAGGAAGCCTTCCCTGACCATCAGGCACTCAGATTCTCCTAGTAAGTTCCTGGGAGCCAAGGCTGGAACCCACACAAATGGGCACATGTTCTCACGTTCCAAGGTTCTTTGACCATTAATATTTCCCTCGTGAGCTACTTCAACCTACAGGACTGCAAACTCCCTGAAGTCAGAAGTCGGTTGCGTGCTTTATAATCCTAGGACAGACTTGGGTGCAGAGGGCCCTGTGAACACCAGGCAGCTGCAAGCTGGCAGGCCCACTTGTATTTCTGAGGGCCCGGTGAACACCAGGCAGCTGCTGCAAGCTGGCAGGCCCACTTGTATTTCTGAGACTGTAGCTTTAAGAGGAGTGGCCCTCACCCCCAGTGCCATGACATGCCTCCTTAGCAGGCGAGAGAGGACCTGACCCCGATCTTCCCTGGGGAAGGATATTCGATCTGACCGAGTGCCCACTGTGTGCCAGGCACCTTACATTCGCTGGCTCTGCAAGGTAAGCAGTACCACCCCCATTCGGCAGGTGAGAAACTGAGGCTCAGCGAGCTCTAGTAGCAAGATGAGGTCACACGGCAGCAAACGGCACTCAGGTCTCTGACGCTGAGCCCGTGCTTGTCCAGCACCGCAGCGTCACCTGGGAAACGTACCAGAGTCGAACCACCAGGCTTCAAGCAGGCTTTAAAATGCCCATGATGCCGTCCTGTCCTAGCTGTGTTCGCCCCGTTCCTGCTAGGCTGGGAGCCATCCCTGATTCTCTTTGGGGTACCCACTGTGCACTCAAGCACTGCGTTTACCACTCTCCCCTCTGCCTGAGAGCCATCGGTCCCACCGGGGAGCTCGGGACCTGGCATGGCTGAGGCAGCCAGACAGGGCTCAGAGCCACCAGGTCGCAGCTTAGTGGGTAACCTGTGGGAGTGGCCGCTGTGAGTTGGAGGGGCCTGAAGGCTTCCTGGAGGAAGCAGCGAACGCACATCCCTGAGGGATACAGTAGCTGATGCTTGCAGAGCTCTTTTGAGCTTCTTGATGCGTGCGGTGCCACGTCATCTTCTCCACAGCTGCAGCAAGTGGGTCCCATTACTGTCCTCCGTTTACAGGAGGGGCAGCTGAGGTTAGAAAACCTGTCCAAGGTCACAGAGCTGCTAAGTGGCAGGGCTGGGTTCCAAACCCAGACCAGCTGGCTCCAGGAATAACACTAACAAAAATCCTAACGCCCAGGCCTCTGCCCCCACCCCCGCACACTGACTGCGGCAGGCCCGGCTAAGCCTCTGGGTACGCCAGCTCAGCCTATCCTCACCACGGCCCAGGGAGGGGGGAATGGTTCCTCCTTTTCCACGTGGGAAACAGACTGAGAATGGGCACGGGCCTCCCCCAAGGTCGCGGAGCTGGTCATTCTAGCTCAGGCCCTTTTCGCTCCCCGTCTCCACTCAGAGGAAGGCAGCCTTGGGCCCAAACCTCTCCGCAAACCTCCACCAGCATGATTCGGGTACTTCTCAATATGGCCTTTTTTATAAAAGGGGAAGGAACCAAGCCCAGGCCCGGCTACAGCAGGCGGGTCCCACTCCAGTGCTCAGGTCCCGCCAGGTGTCTTCACCAGGATAGGGTTGACACACCTGTTTCTCTTCCTAAGCAGGGATACCAGATTTAGCAAAGAAATAAATAGAATGTCCAGTTGGACTTACATTTTAGATGAACAACAGATAAGTGTTTAGTCTAAGTATACCCCATTCAATGTTTGGGATATACTTAGACTTTAAAAAATCAATTGTGTATCTGGGCATCTTTGATTTCAGAAAACATACTCCCAAAGCTTGTCATTTCCAGGCCTGGGTATGAGGGCCAGATCCTGTCAGGGAACATGGAGAAGCTGGATAGAGAGGCAGGGAGATGCAGAGATAAAGAGATAGAGAGAGATGGAGAGTCAGAGACAGGAAGTCAGAAAGGCAGAGACACACAGAGACAGATCCCAGGGAGAATCTCAGCCCACTCCCCAAAGCCCCTAGCTTCCAGCTCCCCCAAAACTTGTAAGCTCGTCGTGGAACTCCCTGACCTCAAGCTGCTCCTTGGGAGCAGGGTGCAATAGCTAGGCCTCAGAATGCTCCTTGGGCGTGAAAACCCCCCTCAGGCCTCAGCCCCGGGGTGTGGGGTAGCTCAGCCCAGCTCTCTTTTACTCTCTGGGCCAGACCTTGTAGGAGATCCTGGGGGATCCCCAGGGATAATGGAAGTGCCCCTGTCCAGGAGGGAACCCAGGACAGTGGCCCAAATAAGGACTTCACATGGAAGAACAGTTCTGTCTGAGGTCGGAGGTCCTCAACCAGGCTGGGTCACATGCCAACCAGGTGACCTTGCCTAGGTCACTTAGCTTCCCTGAGGAACTGTGGTCGGCCATGTGGGAGTCCAGTGCTCTTAACTGCCACGCCACCTGCTGGCCCCTAGAGAGATTTTTGCTACAGCGTACATGCTCTCACTGGAGAGACAGAGAGAGACAAAGAGATGGAAAATGAGAAATCACCCCTGAGGGAGGATAGCCATGCCTCAATCCCTTCTACTCCATTTTCTTCTTGGGATTTCAGGCACACACACACACACACACACACACACACACACACTCCTGGTGTGAGTCTCAAGCCACCAGGTCCGGGACTTGAACCACAGTCAACTACGTGGGAATCCAGCAAAGTAACCATTACACCATCTGCTGGTCCCAAAAATGGATTTTTTTGGAGGTAAGGGGGGAGATGTTTTTGCTATAGGGTGCATGCGCTCTCCAGAAAGACAGAGAGAGAGACAGAGAGACAGAAAGTGAGAAATCACCCCCCAGGGGGAATGACCACGCCATAATCCCTTCTCCTCCATTCTCCTTGGGATCTTGGGCACGCATGCACACGCGCCCAGCATGAGTTTAAGCCGCTGGGTCCAGGACGCGAACCGGGGTTGACTCCATGGGAGTCCAGCCATATAGCCATTATGCTAACTGCTAGTCCTCCAAAAATGGATCTTGATGATGGCACCATTGGGATCAGAGTGTTCAGTGTGGGGAAAGGAGACACAGATGTCAGATCAGTGAGGTTTACTCTGCAAACCTCAATCTGAGTTGTCAGTATATTTGACTTTTTTTCTCATTTTTTTTTAAACTTTTCATTTTGGAATAGTTACAGCTCTGCAAGAAGTTGCAAAAATAAAATAGAGAGGTCCTATGAACCCTTCACCCAGTTTCCTATAATGGCTACTTGCTATATTACTATAATATAATACCAAAACCAGAAAACTGACTTGGAACAATGTTCATATATAGTTCTCTATCATTTTATCCCATGTACGAATTTTTATAACCACTACCACAATCAAGGTACAGAATTATTCTATCATCACAAAGATCTCCCTGGTGCTAACCCTTTATAATCATACTCACCTCCTCCCACTCCTCATTCCTATACACGGCAACCACTAATCTGTTCTCCAGTTCTATAATTTGGTCATCTCAAGAATGTTATATAAATGGAATCATACAACACGTGTTCTTTTGAGAATGACTTTTTTCCCTTCTGCATCATCCTCTTGAGATCCACCTAAGTTGTATGTCTCTCTGGTTTGTTTGACTTTATTAGTGCATAGTATTTCATGGTATTGTATGGATGCATCATGGTTTGTTGAGTCATTCATGGATTGAAGGGTATTCTGGTTGTGTTCTGGTTTCAGCAATGACAAATACAACTGCAATGAACATTCATGTTCTGGTTTTTGCATGAACATGTCTCGTTTCTCTTGGGTAAATGCCCAGGAGTATGATTGCTGGGTTGTTCTGTAAGTGTATGTTTGGTTTTTAAGAAACTGCCAAGCTTTTTCCAGAATGGGTGTACTATTCCCACCAGCAAGTTATGAGAGAAGAAGATTCTCTGCCTACTTGCTCCTATTTGGGATAGTCACTATTTCTTATTTTAGCTGTCAGGGAGGCGGGAACGCTGCCCAAGGTGGCCACCGTGAGTGGTCTGCCATCCCACTCAGGTGGCAGCCCGCAGCCCTGGTGCATGTCCGTCCCAGTGGGTCTGGAGACGAACCATGACTGGGTCCTCGACGAGTGAGTGGATCTGGCTTCCCCAGGCGGGGTCTGGGCATCCAGTTTCTGGGAGGTCCCTAGGCCGTTCCAATGCGCAGTCAGGGTTGAGACCCCTGAGCTGGAGAAAAGAGGAGCTTGATGGCTCGTCACCAGGCGTGGTCACTTAGGGGACATCTGCTGACGGAGGAGGGTCCTCGTCAAGGAAACCAGGCAGCAGCCACCGACTTGACACCTGTCTCCTGCTGTCCCAGGTGCAGCTGGCTGGGGTCATTCCAAGGTGAGGGGCTGTGTACCCCTAAAAGCCAAGCTTTCTCCCTCCCCAAGGTGTCAGGGCTGCCACCAGGAGGGGGCTGAGGAACACGCTCTCCTGCAGCTGTGTGTGCTGGGCCCTCTGCCGCCCTGAGGCTCGCACTGCCCCTGCCGGGGTCTCCTGGCTGGGAGGCCTACACAGCCGTGCTCTGGGGCCCTGAGAGCCGAGTCGGCCAGCACGGGGGCTCCACGGGCCACAGGGCCTCCAGTCCAGGAGACTCGGCACTCCTGTGATTCGGGTTCCCCTCACCAATGCTCATGAGCTGTCCCAAGTGGGAGACCTGCTTTCTCGTGGTAGCGTGTCACCGTCCTACGCATCGCATATCTGGACTGGCCCACAGGCACTTCTGTGAGGTGGGCACTATCGTCCCCACCGTATAGACGAGGAGACCAAGCCCAGAGGGGTTAAATAACTCCCCAAGGCCACACAGCCAGGGAGTAGCCGAGCAGGGTGCAACCTGACGGCCTGGCTGTTATTGCGGGCTGTGGGAGGACTGGACAGGACTGCGTGTAGGGCACATGGTCCACCCCACTGTGTGACCCAGACGAGTCACCCCACTCCAGGCCTGTTTCCCCATCTAGAAGATGAACGAGTGGGCAAGACCCCACACCTGCCTTTATTCAGCCAGTCTGGAGACTGCTGCCCAAGCCCATCTTGTGACGAATCCCAAAGGTGACTGGCTTTGAGGCCCCTGGGCCCCCCGAGCAGCCACGCCCTGGCAGGAGGCAGACGTATGTCCACGTGTGATGGGAACCGCTCCAGTCCACCTACCGTTCCCCTTCGGCTGACCACTGTGGCCTGCGGGAAAGTCCCACGTCCAGAGATCATCCTGGGATTCAGTTTTGTCCAGTAAAAAACCAAAACAACTTTCCTCCCACCCAAGACCGCACACTGACGTCTGAGAACCACATCTCAGCGCTCAGCTCGGGCATTGAGAGACAGCCTCACAGAGAAACCACCAGGGCTTTGGGATGGGAAGACGTCGGGGTCTGAGACCCAGCTGGGCCTGGCCGCTGGGACTTCCAGGCCACTACCCCTCCGAGCCTCCAGTACTGCATCTGTGAGATGGAGACCGTAACACCTGACCTCCACTGCAGTGAGCAGTAGCGGGGACACAGATGCCCAGTGGTGACAGCACCCTTCCTTCCCTGTCTGCTGTCCCCTGTCCTGAGGCCCGCTGTCAGCTAAGAATAGCTCCTGTACCAAGCCTGGTAGAAGACAGGAAGACAGGTTGAACCCACTAGCACAGATAGAAAGCTCAGTAGTCCTAGCTGTCTTCCTTCAAGGCTCTACTTGGTGCTCCACCTCCAGGAAGTCTTCCCTGACTGCTTAGCCTATGCCAATTTCTCTTTTCTCAACTCTCCTTCTCCCAGTAGGGTTCAGAGGCTGTTCCCCATCCATCCGGTGTGTGGCAGGCATGGGGAAGCTTAGGCTGTCCACAGGC